CACACACACACACACACACACACACATATATATATAAGATAATAAGATGAGCTACAGCCTACAGGAATATTATTTCCTCTTATTATCAACCATCCATCAGGATCCATCTTATTTATTTATTTATTAATTACATTTTTTTTTAAATGTGCTAAAATGTCCACAATATATAGGTATAATAACATATATTGTAACATTTTAGTTACTTATATTTACCCATATATTTTTGCATGTTTTATATGCTTTCACCCTAAATGTATTTACATTGTTCCAAATATATTTTAAAATATAGATTTTGCATTTATCCAAGATGATATAACAAATGTCTTGAAATGTTTCTGGAGCATCAAATCAGCAAATTACAATGATTTCTGAAGGATCACGTGACACTGAAGACTGGAGTAATGGTGTTGAAAATTTAGATTTGCATCAAAGAAATAAATTACATTTTAAAATATAAGAAGTTATTTTAAATGGTAATAATATTTCACAATATTTTTACTGTATTTTTTACCAAATAAATCCAGCCTGAGTGAACATAAGAGACGTCTTTCAGAAATGTTGAAAAAACTAAATATCACGGTAGTGTATATGAAATATATTTTGACCAGAATATATTTTTCCAATGTGAACAGCAATGAACAACAATGTCAAATGAACTACACATGAACTCAGTAGCTGCAGGTGGTGTGGGGGAGTCATGTGACTGCAGGAAGTGACAGCTGCTAGTATTTATTTATTTCAATGAATGTAATCGATTAAATATCATAATATTTAGGCTATAATATTAAATCAGGTTGGTTTGTATTGCTGACGTAATATGTAAATGATATGCGTGCGGCCCGCGAGACTTGCACTTGGACCATAGTGCGGCCCGGTGGAAAAAAAGGTTGAGAACCACTGAGATACAGTAATGCAGCAGACATTGAGTTGATGGCCTACCTCTACATAGTTGTACATGGACAGGTCAGCTATGGCGTGATCGTCAGGTACACGGACTCTGGTGTATTCTTCGAGCACAGCAGCTGCAGGCAGAGTATATGAAAATAATTCATTACATTTGAGAACAAATATTTTGCACCTCTTAGTTCCCGCTTAGATTTTATTAACCAATACTGCTAATTAGCAATCATTCTGTGATGTTACTCTGGGATGAAATATTTCAAACAAGTATATGTACATTTAAAAGATGGATGCACTTTTGATCAATTTATTTATTTCTTTTATTTTATCTTTTTTTTTTTTTTTTTTTTGAGAAATTAAAATAAATGTATATATTTATTTTTAATTATCTTGTTTTTACATGCATTTAATTATGAATTTTACATAATTTAAATAATAAATTCCTCTTGAATTTTCTTGTGAAGCAGTTTCTTTCTTACCTAGGTTTTCATTAAACTGGTCCATAATCTCATCAAAAACTAAACAATCCTCAAAGCCCTGTGAATCAAAATAAAAAATGAGCTTTATGGGCTTTCAGTTGAAACACTCGCATGTTTAAAACAAAACACACATTTATTGGTTATTAATATTCTTCCACTTGTTCTAAACATTTCACTCTGCAAGACCATCAATGACTACATTTACAAGCACACAATTTTTAAAATAAGGTCCATATCAGGGTTATTATAGTTAACTAAAACAATTTTTAAAAAATGTGTTACTTGAAATAATAAATGTTAGCTGAAATAAAATATTAAATAAATTTAAACTTAATTATTTCAAGTAGTAGCCATGGAAACATTACTTATTTTAATTTAGTTTGAATAAAATAACTAACAAAAAAAACTAAAAAAAACTAAACTAAAAAAAAATACAAATATTAATAAAAATATTTAAAACATTTTAAAAATGACAAAAATGCACAATATTTCTAAAACCTTAACAAAAATTTAAAACAGAAAATATAGCAATAAAAACTCATTAAAACTACTAATAGTATCCCAATGATACGAAAATAACTCTGGTCCATATTCTGGCCAAGCTTTTATTCAGTACAAAGATGTTTACATGCTTCAGAGCTATTGGAATATTTCTGTATACTGCTGATTGCATTTCAGCTGATGTTCAGGTTCTGTTGACCTCATTGGGAGCAATTACAGCTGGAGACATATTGAAAAAACTGAAGCAGGTTGATGAGAATGAATATCCTCACCACCCCCACTTACTGCATTTATGCCTTGACCATGGCCTGAGCCGGCAGCCGGAAGAAATCCTGTTTGAGAGCCTCACTGAGAAAACACAGACACATAGACACACTCAGTCAATAACATACATGCATAACACTGTCACTTCTGTCTGTGGCACAATGACTCACTGCTTAATTATGTTAATTATGACATTTAATATAGGGCAATCTCCTCCAAAGCCTCCTCCTGTTAATTCAAATAAAAACGACATTTTGAGAATTATAACCTGTACAATTCATTTGCACACTGACTAGTTATTCAACATATTATGAAAGCCTGAAACTGAATATTTTATATAAGGCTCAGTGTTAAATTAAGATGGTAAAGGTAATTAAATATCACCCTAATTGTTGTTTCAAACCCATTTGACTTTTTTTATTATGTGGAACACAAAAAGAGAGTATTGGTCACCATTCACTTTGGATTGTATCTTATTGGGATACCATAAAGCTAATGTGACTGAGACTTTTATTATGCCTAATATCTGCTTTTTGTTTCACAGAAGAAAGTAACACAAGAGCAAGTATGGTGACAGAATTTTCATTTCTGGATGTAGTATACTTTGTTGATATGAATAATTCAATACATCTAGATCCAAAGTTTTGGGTCAGTAATTTTTTGAAAGAAATTAACACTTTTATTCGGCAAAGATGCATTAAATTCATCAAAAGTGCCGTTGCAAAAAGTGATGTTACAAAATATTTATATTTCAGATTTTCTATTTCTATTTGTTCTTTTGAACTTCCTATTAATAAAAGAATCCTGAAAACAATTGTATCCAGGTTTACACAAAATAATAATAATAATTAAACAGCACAACTGTTTACAACTTTGAAAATAATAATAAATGTTTCTTGAGCAGCAAATCAGCATATTAGAAAGGATCATGTGACACTGAAGACTGGAGTAATGATGCTGAAAACTCAGCTTTGTTCACAGGAATAAATATAATTTTTTAAATTATAAAAAAATATATTCAAATAGAAAACAGTTATTTTAAATTGCAATAATATATCATAATATTACCGTTTTTACTGTGTTTTTGGTCAAATAAATGCAGCCTTTGTGAGCACAAGAGATTTCTTATCAAACTCAAACTTTCGCATGGTTGTGTATTGCAAAATCACATATTTCTGTTGGATCTTTCAGTGCTCATATATTTGTAACGTAGACAGTTGAATAATTTTTACAACTAAATGTAAATCTTGAGCAAAATGAGAACATCTTCAGTTGATTCTCGAATGCTGAACTGCACATTGAGCTGTTTGAAACTTATTTACAGGTCTGTGAGGTTTGAAATCACTCTGTCTTCACCCCGTCATCTCAGTACTGTATCTCCTCATCATCTGCAGCATTCATATTAAAAAACCCGCCCATGGGCTGCTGAGCAAAATGAGAATATCTTCAGTTGATTCTCGAATGCTGAACTGCACATTGAGCTGTTTGAAACTTATTTACAGGTCTGTGAGGTTTGAAATCACTCTTCACCCCGTCATCTCAGTACTGTATCTCCTTATCATCTGCAGCATTCATATTAAAAAACCCGCCCATGGGCTGCGTGTCTGTTAGACTGCAATTTCACACCTCACTAAGATGTACTTCAGACCTGAGAGAAGCATGAAGCAGAAAGAGAGAGAAAGAGAGGACTCACACTCCTATTAGAGGTACAGAGTCAGGAAAGTATTTCTGGAAGAAACGGATGACCTCGTCACCCCTGCGGATCTTCTCGAATTCTTCAAAGGGCATGAAGAGTGTGCATGTGAACGTCCTGTCCTTAAAAATCGAAAAATCAAAAGGAACATGATTTTACGCAAGGAAACCACAACATAACCAAAGCATAAGATTATAATGTACGTTCAAAACACTTCTGGAGGCCGAATTATTTGAATTATTCATAAACCATTGTCATCAAACAGTAATTCTAAAAACCCTGAATATATGATTAAAAAAAATGCAGACAGGCTAGTAATATTTTCTCTAGAAATTTGGAGAGTAAAGAGACTCTGAGACTTTGTGAGACTCTGTATTTGTGATGGAAAACCACATTAGAAATAATAATTATAATCATCATCATCTTCATCCTCATCATCACAAAAAATAATGAATGGTCAATTACAAAAACTTTAATAAATAAGAAAATAATAATAATAATAATAATAATAATGACCAAAAACGAATTAACAGATAATCACAAAAATGTAATAATCACAGCCTACGATCAGATCAGCCTGCATCTCCTTCTTCTGGCCAACAGGCCGGTTAAGAGACGAAATCTTGTTTGCTTCTGTACTGAAATATATCTAATTCACACACTGCATATCCATAGACTGAAGTGAATTTACAAACTCTTGTGATCAAGTGACCCTCTCGGGCAGCCAATATATTTCAAGATATATACTAAAACTAATACATAGAAATGAATAAAAACTCTCTATATATTATTTTTTAGTTTATTTAGTTTAGTTTAGTACTTCATAATAACTAATAATGACAGAATCTTTTTTTTTTTTTTTGGTGACTATTCCTTTATATGTTACCCCAAGGTATTTAAAAAAAATATCATGGTATTATTTTTCTGAGACAGAAAGAGATCACTGTTTACCCAGTGAAGGTCATTGTTCCCGTTTTTGGACTCCAGTCCTGTAGCTTGTGATTAAAGTTCAGTGTAGTGTTTGGATATGCGTCTGCCGCTCCAAGAAATCATTTCAATTCTGCATGTTTATTCTGTAAATAAAAGCAATAAGATTCAAACAGGCTTAAATGTACAAAGACTTTGACCGCATCCCAATTCACATACTTAATGTGACACTTAGTAATATGTAATTGAAATGTTTTTCTTGAAAAAAAACATAACACATTACTACTTAAATTTACTAACTTTTAGTCATCATGAAATGGCGATGTACCAATGTAATCCAATGTACACTGCCATTCAAAAGTGTGGGAGTTAACTTTTTCTTAACTTTTACATTTTTACAAAAAAATTTACAGTTAAAATAAATGCTGTTCTTTTGAATGATCTATTCATTAAAGAATCTCGAAAAAATGTAAGATAAAAACTAAATGCATATATCTGATAAATAACAGATATATAAGACCTCAAAGCTTGAATTAAAAGCTACAAAACTTCAGTTTTGATTTCATGGGGCCTTTAAATGTATACAGAGTTCTGGCATGAAACTCTAGATGGTGCATTCCGATAGGTCTAACTCAATCTGACCTAATGACATCATTATCACAGGGCACAGCTGATTGGTTCTCTCATGTATCGGTAGCCAATGAGCTCGTTGCTCAACATTCACATATATTACTAGTGCTTGCCGTAGCAGTTGCAGCTTTCTTCAGAAACCCTCCACCTTCTCAAGCTCCACCTGTATAGATCTGCTATGAGGTGATTCATGTATGCTATATGGGGGTTATTTCATGTATGCTATATTTGCAGCAGCAATATTCCTTACATGCTCACAGCAGCATGTTGTGGATGTATTGGCAGTAGCAAGTCTCGGTACTTGCTTTGCCGCAGCAGCAGCAGCAGTGTAGCAGATCTATTCCGCCAAGACCAAATACATTAACATTGTCATGTACATTACCATGCCAATCCCTCCGAGAGTTGTCATGACAGAACTGTTACCTGTTAGCAGCTCCTTGTTGAGGTTGGCTCTGTCCACAGAGAGGATGTACTACAGACTAAAGACTACAGATGTACCTAAACAGAAAGAACAGCCATGTTTAGGGAACATCCAGGTTAGAGTCAGTCAGCCGGGAGAATGACAACTTTAATCTCTATTATGCATGTTCTGGATTATCTGGAATATTTTAAGCCTGAAATGATGGATTTATGACAGCCATGGAGTTCAGTCACCTGAAAGGCACTATAATCTACAGCTTAGATGTCTTAACTGTTTAAAAGCACCTTGACAAACACTGTTTGCAGCAGTGAGTATGTTTTGTGAGGGGATTACATAGCAGTATTAATAAACTAATGGTTTAAAAGCAGTTCTGTTTCTGTCCATCTGCTGATTTCCAGTTAACATAATCCCCGCAAACCTCACGAGGGACAAAATGAACACACAAACTGGGCCAGAGACACCTGAGCTTTTCATCTCAGATGATGACCTGCCCAAAATGCAAATGTATTAATATGCAAAATGATTCAAATTATATACCCCTTGTTTAAATTTTCCATGTGCTAAATGTGTAAATAAATAATAATGAAATTATCACTTTAGGACCAAAATTTGGTATTGAACATAAAAAATGTTTTGTACAACAGTAAATAATATGATGACCTATCCAGGCTCGAAAATGCAAATGTAATACAAAAAAATGTACATTTAAAATAAATGCTGTTCTTTTGAATGATCTATTCATTAACGAATCTCGGAAAAAATGTATCTGGGTTTCCATAAAAATATTATTTCTATAGGAAAATATGCTAAATTATTCAAATCATATACCTCTTACTTTTTTTATTCGTTTTTTTGTTCATAAGTTTCAATGATATTATGATGACCTGCCCAAAAACCTCACCGCTAGATGCCGCTAAAATTTACACACTGAATCTTTAAGTTACTATTTTATAAGCTTTTTTCATAAATTTCAACGATATTCTGATGACATACACAGACCCTAAAAATACACATTTATTAATATGCTAAATTATTAAAATGATTATTATTTATTCAGAAAATTAATAAAAATGATAATAATAATAATAATTTTTTTCATAACAACCTGTCCATGCTGCTTTACATTCAGATGAATTTCTGTCAAACTACTGTGGCCTTATTTATTCCTCATTTATAATAATTAGAAAGGTGTAGATGTGACAGGAAATAGATTGTGCTGATTTCTCATAAAAAGCAAGAAAAAGCCTATGCCAAATTATGTGCACGTTATGATTGTAATGATTAACAAACTGGTTTGAAAGGAGATGGTTGTATGGACTCTGCTGGGGTCACTGGTCACGCATCAGCAAACAGACTCCATGCATGAATGTATGTCTAATGTAAATGTTCTCAACTAGTGGGTGAATAACCCTGTAAATGTGCAACAACTTTACTACAACCTGTCATGTGACTGAGCATTTCTGAACTGCTGTGGGAAGGATCCAGAGGATAACAATTTGAAGTTACTTTATTTGTGTGAATATGAATGTGTAGATCAGAAAATAGTTATTGTTACCTGTCCCTTCTTGCCATAGGGTATTGGAGAGCGTTTTCCATTCACATTATGGATAATACGGGCATGCATTGGAATGCCTTTAGAGACTATCTACAAGAAAAAACAGATATGTCTGGTAGTGGGAACAATATTTACACATACTATACAGTTTCATTGATGTAATACAATACCGTTCAAAAATTTGGGGTCAGTAATGCTCTCTTATGCTTACCAAGGCAGCATTTATTTGATCAAAACAGTAATATTGTTAAATATATATTAATTAAACTCTATATTAATGTATTTTCACATGTAATTTATTCCTGTAATGCAAAGCTGAATTTTCAGCAGCCATTACTCCAGCCTTCAGTGTCACATGATCCTTCAGAAATCATTCTAATATACTGATTTGCAGCTCAAGTAATATTTATTATTATTATTATTATTATGTTGACAACATATTGCTGCTTAATATTTTTGTGCAAAAACATGATGCATTTTTTTCAGGATTCTTTCAGGAATAAAAAGTTCAAAAGAACAGTATTTATTTGAAATAGAAGTTTTGTAAAAGTCTTTACTGTCGCTTTTAATTAATTCAATACATCCTCGCTGAATAAAGGATCAAATAAAATAATATGATTTATATTTAATAGTATATATTATTCAAGTCATTGTAGTACAATACTTGGAACTAAAGCCAGAAGGCAATGAAAAAAAAAGATTAAAATGTGGTTGAAGCCCCTTAACAAAATGCTAGACTTAACCCTAAAATCTAATTTGGGAATGATCTGGGTTGATGGGAATGTTGTTGCAGGACCAACAAAGGATGCTGATCCAGGCAGATGTCCTACTTGGGTAAATCTCATTACGTATTTTAAATACAAGGGCTCACAGCAGCTCCATCCATCTAACCTAATGCCTCTAAAGCTTCAGACTGACTGTCGCACTCTATCCGATATGAAAAATCGTGTTAACCCAGGGTTGAGTTCATACGGTATTCCTGATCTGGCATTCCTGGCTCTGTCGAGCTGAAAAGTTGCACAAGTGTAAAATAACCAAATCACAGAGACACGGGACTCTGTGTGCTCACTATAAAATTCAATACTTCCTATAATGACTCTAAGTTTGACCATATATGTAACGCATTACAATTTAGACACAGTAATATTGTAATGTAACTAATTACTTTCAAAAGACAGTAACTAGTAATATATAATGTATTACATTTTGGAAGTAACTTACCCAACACTGGTACTGAGTGTAAGTAGCATTTGATCTAGTTTCTACGGTGGCCGAGAAGTGCAAAGCAAATCACAATTCTGAAAACAAAATAACAAATTACAAACGCAAATGCAAATGCAAATCTAAAAAACAAAATAACAATTCAGAAAGCACAACAACAATTCAGAAAACATTATAACAAGTCAGAAAACACAATGACAAATT